CAACCACAGTAGAAATAATTAATATTTTTTATCCCCAAACTCCAGAGGGGAAAATTGTGTCAGTGAAAGATTAGCAGTGTAGTAATATAAAAATACGTTCTCTACATTCACGATTGATTTTGTAACACACCATACTGTGCCTATTAATTTTTGTGCAGTAGCAAATGATTCTTTATTAAAGGAAAGTGTGAGTCTTTGTAGAGACCCTTTCATCAACTTTCCTCTGTCACTATCCAGAGCTTTCCCTGTGTACAGTAACTATGTACAAGTTGGTTATTGTAGTGGGTTTATTTTGTATTACATTGGATCAGACATTCAGTAAACTGTGTTTGTTTTTTAGCAAATGAATGTGTCCGTCTGTGGCACAAGCTGTAGTTTGAGGCAAAATTTATGAGGTAGTAACAGTTCCTGCTAGCTGCAGGGTTGTTGCTAAAGTAAAGCAGCGGCTTCTACTGAAATCAAATGGGATATTTTTTGTTGGTTTTGGCTTCTGTTGAACAAGAGCATTCTGTAAATGTTTATGGACTCTGTGCTCAGTAAATGTACTAGAATACACGGTGATGGATGCAACAATGTTGGTTCAATGTAATTGTGAAATACGTGCTCAAACTATGCTGCTAGCACTTCACCATGTGAGACGTTATGTGGCCAAACATGGGTACATTGTAAATACCTAGAATTATATGAAGACGTGTGTTGCTTTATTGTTATGTAGGATGTTTATCCTTAAAAAACCATCAAAACAAAAAAAAAGAAAAACGTGATCCTTATCAGAGTATCAGTTAGTACTTAATTATATTTTGTTTTCAAATTATATTTTGTACCTTTAAAAAGTGGTGTAAGACTTTTACAGTGTACAACAATCAAGTTATCTGTATTTCTGTCCTTTTACTGATCCTGTAACTGATTATGATCATGGTCATGGACTGGTGAAAAGGTCTTTTTTTGTAAAACTGAATTTTATTCATACAGAATTACATGCACATACGTATATATAGATATGTATGTATGTATTACCAGCATAGATCATAAATATACATCCCTAAGCTTTTCAGAGAGCCAGTACACTTTAATATTTTTGAATACTGAATTTTCTCACAAATTGGGGATGTCATTGTTGTCTCTCCATTTTCATACATCCCAGCCTCCCTATATATTCCAGATCACCATAAATTATCAAGTAAAATTCACTTTCTGTAAGTATAATTTATGTTTGTAGACAAATATTTGGAAGATTTCCCAGAATTTTTAAACGGATATAGAACACCTGGTTACCATTGTGCACTTTCTGTATCTACTTAGCACAGAGTGAAGAGCTTTGCAAAGGACAGAAAGTCAAGATAGAACATAAATGCAGGGGTTTGCTTTATAGAATAATCCTGATGAATTGAGGAAGGATTAAATCAAAAGGGTTATAGAGAAAATACTATAAGAACCAGTAAAATATGATAAGAGTATATTTTGCCATTATGTAATTTAATTGCTAATCATGTTTATCCTGCTCAACTATGCATGCCAATTAGTAACTGCTATTAACTGTTGAAAGTTATTTTTATATGTGGATTTTTGTTCCTCATCTATGCTGCACGCATAATGAGACTTGCACTGGGATATGTGGACTTGAGGAGTCCAGTGATGCAGAGAAGTGATGCACTTCAAGGAAAAACCTTTGATTTTACTTCCTTATCACCCTTTAGATATTGTTCCAGTTTTAGAGCTGTCTCATGAAAAGTCCTCATCTCTAATTTAATAATTCTGATCATTTTATCTCCCACATAGGGCTTTTCTCAGAAATCCATGACATTGCCTCCTTGTCATATTTGATAGATGCCCTGAACACGTCAAACTGATTTAACTGATAAATCTTAATGCAAATATAGCTAAAGATAGGCACATACCTGAAGAAATAAAAATGTCACTGGGATGTGGTAAGTATGTTTAATTTAAATGAACAGTCATTACAAGAATTAATTCCATATCAATTTGGAAGGTGCTGCTTTCTCGTAGAGTGCAGTTGTTATGAAACTGGATACCCAGTTTGAAACTGAACTGAATACCTGTGGACTTTTTTTCAGATTCTGTTTTATTAATAGAATTTTGTAAGATGCCTCTTTACTTGTGGTAGGAATCACAGTTTCCAAATCGCCCCTTCATAGTTTGGGATTCCCAAAATCTTCATACTGAAGGAGAATTTTTGGATGCTTCTTTTTTAAAATTACTCTGTAATTTTTAGGGAACGTGCACTTCTGCTGTCTTTGGGTTCTTTACTCTAGGAAAACAAACCAAAAAATGGAATGGTATACCTTTCCTCTGAAATTATTTTTTTTGCTTTCTATAGAGGTAGAAATAATATGAAGGAATCAGTTGGGAGTAGTGAGAAACAAGTACCTGTTTCCTCAGTTGTACATAACAACCAAGCTGGAGTTACCATTTGCTGTAACCTGTACGTCTAAGTGCCCCCCTGTTGGAAGGGACTCTGCCCAAAAATCTCCATACTGCTTACTTCTTTTTGATATTACAGAAGGTTTTTTTTTAAAAAAACAAAACAAAACAAAACAAACATCATCCTACATTCACTGCTTTTATGACCTACAGGCCATTACGGGTCAGAACTTCCCTCTGAAAGGCTCCCCTGCAGTGTTTGCCTTGGGGACTCCAAGGGCTCCATCAGCTCCTGAAATGCTCCCACAGCTGCTAGGTAGTCAGTGGCTTCTCCGTTTTGAAATGCCCTTCCAAAACCTGAACTCCAAAAGTGGATATTGTGTCTTTTCACTTAAATACTTTGCTTTCCCTCTACCAAATCAGAAAGAAGCCATTTATTTCTTATGTGGTCGTCCCAAATCTCCATTGCTGCTTTTTGTACCCACTAGGAAGTTTTCTTCCACACATAATTGACAGCTGGGTATCATAAGACCTTACATTTTGATCATTCAAATAAACTTCTTATTTATGATTTTATTAATACTTACCACATATCTGTATGTAGTTAAAAAAAAGAAAAAGGAAAAGAAAAATTGATAGCATTGTGTTGTAAAACTGGAGATAATCTATGACGGTTAGTGGTTTCAGAAAGGGATGGAGTTGCAATTGTTTTTTCCATCTTGGTAAATGTATTTCTTCAGGTTTAATAGGCACTGCTGGGCTATGTATCCGATTAGGAACTTCAGTTTTCATTACACTCAGTAAAGCCGATGCCTTTTACCCAGTACTTATGCTATTAGCTACTAAACGCCATTAGTTTCTTCATGTATCTCCTGATACATCAAACAAGTCAGTCTTCCTCAAACAACTAGAAATTTAAAATCCTTCAAAAATTTTCTTCTCAACAAGTTCATCTCCAAACCCTGGTCGCTGATGGCTCCTGTTTCAGTAGACCTCTGAAGTCTGGGGATTTTTACTGCCTTCCTGCATTACAAAATGCCAAGATATAAGATGGAATATCTTTCACTCCTTACATGGAGCAGCCATCTAGATGTGGTGGAGGTCAGACAGTTGTTTATACTGTCTGCTGTACATAAGGCCTCCTCAGATGTGTAGTTCATCCTCTTATAGGAGGAAGAGTGGAGAGAGGGTATGGTGTGGAGTGTGGCTGGATTCAGCGCTGTACTCCACGACTCTGCCTGGCTCCTGATGCCTTCTGAAATGAGGAAGACATGAGAGTGAATAAAGGACTCTTCGTTTTGTTAATTATGGGAGAAAAAATGAGCCCAGCCAGGTAATGTTGCTAATTTATTGATCCACAGTATTCAATGCTTGGTCCTAAAACCACTTTGTCATACTTTCAAACCTATGGTTCACATGTAAATAAAGGTTATATGGAAGCCTGGAAATGTATTGTTTAGGTTACACATATGAAAATCAAAAAGAAAAGCAAGCACTTTCTCACATGAATGTTGAATAATTTTTAAAGACAAATAATAATAAATCAGTGTTGTTGCTAGAAAGAGATCATCGGGCTCTCTTTGCCAGTTGATACTTTTTAGAAAGAATTTTTCCCTCTGCTAAATTCTGAGTTGATTAATGTGATATTGTGTGTGAGAATGTGCTTACCTTTCCTGCAGTTGGGAAAACAGTATGGGGAGAAATACAAAGTAGTGAAGAGGTGAGGAAACCTATTTTTCTGCTGTTGTTATGAAGTTGCATATTTGAAGTGGAACATGCCTCCCATTCAGGGGTGCCTGGAGCTTGAAGTCAGCCATATACCTGTTGCTCTAAGACATTGTCATGCTTCCTCATTTTGGAAAGACATTTATTTGACCAAATAATTTTTTTCCACCAGACATTCTTGGGAGGACCCACCTCCTTTCTTCAACTCTGTGCAGGAGGCAGTATAGTCAGGAAAGGCGCTGAGAGAGAGAGGACAGGAGAAATGCAATAGGGAAAAGAAAGTAAGACCCCCATGTTTCAGACTGTGATTTTGCTGATCCAGTGTTGACAGCCAGCTACTCAGCATTGTTCTGGGCATCCGGTGATTACGGTTCAGTGCTGGAGAAAAAAAAAATCTGTTAGGACAGCCTTTTGCTAAGGAATTACAGGTAGAATTTAGTCCACTTTTTAAGGGTCTATGTCCTTCTCTTTCAGAGCTGTAGAAATAAGTGCTGGTGGGTGTATTGGAATATTCCTCCAAAACCCTCCAAAACAGCCCAAAGGTAGGCTGCATAGCAGGTTACTTGCCTTTGAGGATCAGATGCAGCCTGCTGGCTTTCAGCTGTGTGCTTCCATGTCAAGATATTCAAACCACATTTTTGGAAGGTGTGTGAGAATCTGGCTATATGGCAGAAATTTGAATAAAAGCTATAGAAGACTTGCAGCACCCGGGTGATTCTGTCGTATCCTCATCACAACTTTGATAAGAGTTACAGTAGAACCCACATTAAATTGACTCAATGACATAAACTCAATTCAGCCACTGTCCATTTCTTCCCCTGTCACACTTCTGTCTTTGTGCACAATTTCAGGGGAAGAAAAAAATCAGATGCTGCAAAATAGACATGTGTGCTATGTTGGCCTCACCCACGTAACAGACCTGTATCTCTTTCTGAAAATGTTGCAGTGCGTTGTAAAAAATAAAAATTGCTTTCTTGGCTTTTCCACTTCCCAATTAACTTATCTTCTTAAGCAATCCTGGTAGTCTTGGTTTTCTCAAAACACAATGCAGTTTATTTCCTGTGAAGTAATTTTCATGGAAATAACGAGATGCCATTTTTAAATTAAAAAGCAGGAGATTGCCAGTATCTGTTGATTGAGTTTCTGTAATTGAAATATCTAAGAAAAAATACAAGATAGTCTAATTATTATCCTGTATCCTATTATTCTGTATAATGCAACAATGAAAACTCTTTAGTTGTCATTCAACTATTCCAATGACATAGAAATGTGTGAAGCAACCCTAACAGCTGTGAAACAAAGCAAGATCTTCAAGGTTATCAAAACAGAAATCCTTTTATTTATTATTTTAAAACAGATGAATTTGTCATGAAATTTAAAGATTCTCTCTTTATTTTACAATCAGGAAAAGCACTGTAAATAATGTCAAGGTTGAGTGCCAAACCAATTGAAGCTAGCAAATGTGAAATAAAGCCAACACTCTCTTCTTTTCTCACAGTGGTATTAAAAAGAAGAGAAAGCTGAAGCACATCATGGAACAGGAAGAAGCAACAGCCAAAACATGGTAAACAAGGTGGAGTGATATTCAGAAAAAAAATGGAGCAATAAGTAAACAATTGCAAAATCAATTTGATCTTTTAAAACATATGTTCACTGAGTTTCCTGGCAAAAAATTCAGAGGAGTTGTAAGCTTTGAATTAGTAGCTCTAAATGGGAAAGCTGATGATCTCATTAGCTCTGGGTGCTCTAAAAAGGAGGAAGAAAAGAAAAGCCTATGCTGAATACTTCATTGTGTATGGGATCATTGAAAAGTAGAGATAAAAAGAAGAGTCAATGAAAGGGAAAAGAAGCCATGGGAGATGAGGTTAATTCCAATTTTATATATTAAAATACATTTCACTAAAGGTAAAAAGGAAAGCCTGATGCTGCCCTACGGCACACAATACTCTCCAATATGTAAATGTAGGTACTTCACTGGAAATTTCCTTCCTGCATATGTGAAAACACGCAATTATAGGAAATCAACCGTGAACACCATACTGGAGCAAAGCCTTCTGAAATGCATGTATATTCATGTATATCTCATACAAGGCATCTTATCCTGGATTTCATATCTGCCTCCTCTTATTACTAAAATACTACAAAATTAATTATTTAAATCTTCTGGTAGAGGCCTGATGTTCTGAGTGACTTCTCACTTGTGTGGTGGGTAGATGTCTATGTCCTGGTCCAGTTCTGGACGATATGCTATCATAAAGCCCTTGCAGAGGCCCAAATTAAATTTTTAGTCACAATTACTTTGTGTGGTTATTCTGTCAGTGTGAGCTCACTTCAGTCATTGGACAAAGAATCCATGTTCCTTTCAAAGTACACATGGCTCATCTACAGTTCAACTTTCAGACACGGACAGGACTTGGTTGAATATGACAGGCTGTGGTCAATAGGTTTGATCATCATCCACGCAGACTTGCACATGCGTTGCTTGTTGCAGTCCTTTTGCCAGTATACCACATTCCTAAGGTTTAGATTTGCTCCAGCGCACGAGTCATAC